GTATGTACAGACGTATAGTAGATATACGTATAGGTTTTTTTCCAAATAATACAATTGTAGGACTTTAGTAGTCCATAAATATTTAGGAATGATGGAATTGTTTCGTTTTTTTTAAATCATTTAATAAAAAGTATTTCTGGCATATTAATATGGGTAATTTTTTTATGATAAGGAATTATTAATAATTTTTGATGCTTTTTCTGATGTGGTGGTATTTATTATTAATATTTTAAATGGTGTGGGACTCAGAATTTAACTTAATAATGTTGTAGGTCGTTTATAATATAATTATTATTAAGGCAAACGTAGGGAACTAAAGTCGTTTAGAGATTTTCAATTTGCTTACGTTGGTACGAAGGTGCAGGAGTTATTTACGAATCCGATTAAAACCGAATGTAATTAATAAAATGTCAACTGTTTGATGTCAACTTAGTTAACCTAAAATTCCATATTTTGCGTATAATTCTTTTTTATTTAAGCATTTTACAATGGAAGACACATTGCCGTCGACGGTTGAGCAAGAATTATTGGGTATAAAACATTTAGTTTGGGGCGCAACCATAAAAAATGACGTTTTTAAAAGGTGGTCACAGGGTATGACTATGTCTTATTACATGCTTTAAGCGTTTCTTTACCTACAAACGAAAATGTAAATATTTTTTTGATATTTTCGTTAAAATCGCGACAAGACGAACGCCCTAACGTTCAGGAGTTTTCAGGTTTTTACTTCAGTGGCGGCGAGAAAAGTGCGTTGGAACAGGCGGAAGGGGGACCGTGTGCAGTCATAGCACCAGTGCAGGCGTTTATTCTAAAAAATTTGCTCCTAGATTTTAACGATCTTTCATTTAGAAATGCAGTAAGCAACTTGAAACTCTCTTCTCTCTCTGTGTTCTCTACCCGAACACCATTTCTGTTTGCAGATGACAGAAGATTTGCAACACAAGTATTTAATTAACGCCTTATGTGAGATACTGAAACAGTGCAACGTGAAAAAGTACATAATAGCCAGCTTTAACAAAGCCAAATGTAAGAGCATAACGGACACAGGTTGCAGCACCAACAGGCTGAACAGTAATGAGAAGGACGAGTTGCACTTTCTTGCCTCTGAGGTTTCCAAGACATTCCATGACAATTTGCAGTTGTACATTTTCACGAAAATCGAAGATGTGGCCGTGTTTTTTAAGCAGAACATTTGCATTTTTAAAGAAACGTTTGGAGTACTTTTATTTTTATATTCGGTGTTGGCAACCAGGGTAAACTGATCCAATCACTTACCACTAGTTCAAATTGTAATTGTGTTGGGTTTAGGGCGTAGATCTTGTCAAGTACGAGTCAGACACGACAGAGCCTTTTATCGACGCGACTTACGGGTACGGGAGCCAGTCCCTTATAAATCTCATGTTAACTGGGAGGGCAGTCACATATGTGTGGGATAATTATCAAGATGTGGGTGGTTTAAGTAAGTATTACTTAATAGTAAGGGTAGGGAGTCCATTAACTACTTTTAAATGTCATGTTTTCCCTCCAAAAAATTGCCGAAAGCCAAAATTCCGACCGACGTTTCGCTCTTAGTTATGAGGCATCTTCAGGGTAGGTTTCCCAGTTAGATTCATGTATGTAACTTACATTAAGCTAACTAGGAAACCTACCTTGAAGAAGACTCTACTTTGAAAGCGAAACGTTAGTCTTGGTTTTATATTCATAACGAACCTTATACCCTACATTGACTGGATTTTTGCCTTTAATAATGAATTATTACCTTTAAATGCCTTGTTTTCCCCTAAAAGTTACTAAAAGGTAAACATTTAGCTAATGTAAGGTTTAAGGTTTATTACGAATATGAGAGAACAACCAACGTATTGCTGTAAGTTATGAGGTTTCACCAGGTTAGATTTCCTGGTAAGTTTCATACAAATAAACTAGAAAACCTATCCTGAAGAAACCTCACAACTAACAGCAAAATATTGGTTGTGGTTTAACGTTTATAATAAACCTTGGACGTTACATTGACTGGATTTTTGTCTTTAATAATGAACAACTACCTTTAAATGCCTTGTTTTCCCCTAAAAGTTACTAAAACGTAAACATTTAGCTAATGTAAGGTTTAAGGTTTATTACGAATATGAGAAAACAACCAACGTATTGTTGTAAGTTACGAGGTTTCACCAGGTTAGATTTCCTGGTAAGTTTCATACAAATAAACTAGAAAACCTATCCTGAAGAAACCTCATAACTAAGAACAAAATATTGGTTGTGGTTTAACATTCATAATAAACCTTGGACGTTACATTGACTGGATTTTTGTCTTTAATAATGAACAACTACCTTTAAATGCCTTGTTTTCCCCTAAAAGTTACTAAAACGTAAACATTTAGCTAATGTAAGGTTTAAGGTTTATTACGAATATGAGAAAACAACCAACGTATTGTTGTAAGTTACGAGGTTTCACCAGGTTAGATTTCCTGGTAAGTTTCATACAAATAAACTAGAAAACCTATCCTGAAGAAACCTCATAACTAAGAACAAAATATTGGTTGTGGTTTAACGTTCATAATAAACCTTGGACGTTACATTGACTGGATTTTTGTCTTTAATAATGAACAACTACCTTTAAATGCCTTGTTTTCCCCTAACACTTACTAAAAGGTAAACATTTAGCTAATGTAAGGTTTAAGGTTTATTACGAATATGAGAGAACAACCAACGTATTGCTCTAAGTTATGAGGTTTCACCAGGTTAGATTTCCTGGTTAGTTTCATGTAAATGAACTAGGAAATCTATCCTGAAAAAACCTCATAACTAAAAGCAAAATATTGGTTCTGGTTTAACGTTCATAATAAACCTTGTACATTATATTGACTGGATTTTGGCCTTTAATAATGAATTACTACCTTTAAATGCCTTATATTTCCCAAAAAATTAGTAAAAGATAATCATTTAGCTAATGTAGGGTTTAAGGTTTCTTATGAATGTGAAACAACAATAAACCTGTTGCTTTAAGTTATGAGGCTTCATCATGGTAGGTTTTATGGTAAGTTTCATGTAAATGAATTAGGAAACCTATCCTAAAGAAACCTCATAACTAAGAGCAAAATATCGGTTATGGTTTAACATTCATAATAAACCTTGTAGGTACCCTTTTAGTAATGAATTATTGTTTTGCTCTTTCCAGGGCTTAGGGGCTTGGAAAAGCAGAGCCAAGTGGGTTTTATAACTCTCTTGGAGCATTTGAGGTATTGTACGGTAGGTTCTTTTTACAAAAATCCGGTACACCCAGTATGGATTTTGGGTTCAGACACCCATTTGTCGGTTTTGTTCAGCGACGAGAGGAAGCTTGTAAGCCCTGAAACGAAAAGCGAGAAAGCCCGACGGATATTCAAAACGTTCGACCCGGACGGTAACAATTTCATCAACGTTTCTAGCCTTCAGGATGTCCTAGCTTCGTTAGAACTTGTTAGCGAACCCGAATAGTAAATAATCATCTCCTTTTTGTTTGTTTTGCCTATTTTTAACGGAACC